CATATTTCTTTACAAGTGTGGAAGTGGGAAAACAGAGAAGCAGCTTTCCTTTCATATTTGAAGATCTTTACCTATATTTTCCCACATTGATTACTAGCCTTGATCGAGATGGACTATTATTAAGAAAGGCAGGGAGGGGAGCAGGGAAGCCGGGAGAAAAGGAATGAGGTGGAGGAAGGGTGGGAGGGTGTGGACAGCATGGAGAAAGGAGAGTTGCCACTACTCACCATAACCATCTGGTCACCCTTCATCTCTCTTACAAAACGTGTTTCTTTGTCGTCCCATTTCTGCACATGCACAAGTTTGTCCCCATCCAGAGTCACAACAGACTGCGATGAACAGCAAATGCAGAACATGACAAAAAGTACGAGTTAGATTCCTGATACCTAGATCACATAGCTAATGGGTTTTCCTCTACGAGTTTTCTAATTGTTCAGTTGTAATCAATTCTTTATGCTAGTCATGCCCTCCCCTTGTTGCTCTAGACTCACTGTTACGTAATTCTAATAATTGACCGTCCGATTGAAGTGAGTACATGTTGATGTAAACATTTTGTATTTTGGAAATAAAAATCCTGAGCCAAATTACTATGTCTGAAGAGTCACAGCTCTGGTTTAAACAAAGCCTTAAGGTGAAGCTGTTGGTTTATTTAGTTGACCTGATGCCTTCAGACAGATTAAACAAAATGCAATCTTTCTTTCAAATGCACAGTATAAACACTTTCTGAAATATAGATTTGATATAAAATAGGAAACACATATGGTAAGAGAAAACTTGATTCAAGCTTTGAGCTGTATAGCAAGTAATCATTGTTCAGGACATATGTGCATAAGAATGTCACCTTAATCTTGATGTCCTCTTCCCTGAGTTCAAATCATGAAAGCATTCTCTAATCGCCATAAGATACAAAACGAAACTCAGAATGTGGCTTTCATTCAATGCTCTTTATCCACTCAGAGAAAACGTGGTTTCTCACCTTACAGTTTCTGTCATCTGCAGTTGTTTCATCAAACTCTTCTCCCAGATGGAAACGGATTTCTGTGTTCTTGAACGTGCTTTGGGTTCTGATCACCACTCTGTCCCCTTCCTGGCTGATGATCACGGTGGGTTTGGTCACATTCCCCACCTGCCTAACAGCAAAGCCCACACCTACAATAGCAACAGGAAGCAAGACAGTCAACTGCAACTTCCACAAGAACTCGCAGAGCCGGAACCTGCTTTCTGAATCTGGAATGGAGGTTGTTACCTGCTAAGGTTCATGAGGGCGATGATGCACTACAGCTGTGAGCATCACAAAGTAAAAGCAAGACCCAGGAGCCCCATCCTCCTCAGAATAGCTAGGGCTCCATTCGTTGGCTGTGGCTAGGAGAGCAGATCAATGTCACATTCAAAGGCTATTCAGTTATAGACTTGGATTATGGCAATATTATCTGTCTCTGCCTGTTGCTAGTCTGATGGCTGACAAATCGGATCTACAAGTATCTGAAGCTGCAAGTTTGGAAGAGAATAGCACATCTTATTTTTACCTACCTAGAGCCTTCATGTACTCATCAAAGTTCTGACTGTCTGTCAGCTTCCAGGTAGCACAGAAAGCCTCCACCATTCTGTCTTTTTCCCCCTGGACGGTCAAGAAAGGAGAAGAGACAGGAGCAAGGATCTTCCACTTTTAGTTCCGCTGCAGTGCAGATGACCCCTGTGCACCTCAGCTGCAGCGCCTGCCTTCTTATTTGGAAAAAGATCTGGCAAAGAGCCAAGAATTTGAATTGCAAACCCTCCCCCTCTTTCCTGGAGGCTGGCACAGTTTGAGGGGGGCGGGGGGAGGGCCCAAGTGAGGTTCCAATCCTCTTTGTAATTGGCTCAGGCCACTGGGTCAGGAGAGTAGGTCAAGGTCCTCCCAGCCTTCACACTGCAGTCCTTATGCCTGAGAAAGCTCTGTGGGAATTCTAAGGGGCTGGGAGCAGGGAACAAGAAAATGAGAGAGGGTCTTTCAGATCCAACCCTGAAAACTTGGCAAAGGCAGTGTCAAACTGTGAGGAAAGAAAAAAGATGCACAATAGACATTCAGATTGATTTCCGTTAATAGCAAAGCCGGTTATAAATGAGGAGCCTCCCTCAAAGTTCAGCACTATTGGGAGCATGGCCTGGA